TCAAGTTCACAAAATATATCCAAAATATGTACAAAATATGTATGTATGTTTTCAATTGGAAACGCTCGTTAATCTTAAGAAAATTCAATTTGAAACAATAAAATTAGTTGATAAAAACTGTTGTTGTCTCAGCAGCTAATATAGGAAAGGCAGGGGAAGCTGTTTTCTCCCTTTCTAGCTGTCTCCAGAGTTTAATCCAACCCTTTGTTACACTCTTAATGTAAAGGGACAATTTTGTCCGCAGATTTGGAACCGATTCGTGCACATCTAGAAAGGATGTAAATTTGTTCCTTAAATTGGACAAAATTGTGTAAAGTCTCACACAGTTTGTCTAGTTTTAGGAACAAAATTGCATCCTTTCTGGATGTGCTCAAATCGGTTCCAAATCTACGGACAAAATTGTCCCTTCACATTTAGAGTGTACACACTGCCCCGGCGCGAGGCATCTTTGGCGCCCGATTTACCCGGATTTACCTAATCTTTTTCGTGGTTTGACTTTAATAGCCAAATTCTAAAATCTGTTACACACTGCCCCACCCGAGGGGTACCCAACTCGCCAAAATTGCGTACGAAGACTGGAAATAGGAATGACTGTAGTTGATTGTAACATATAAGTGCGACTGTAAAATACTGTACAGACTGTAGATAAGTAAATGATGTGTGCGATTACATATGACTGGAGCTGACTGGTGGTGGGACTGGAGGTGACTGGAGGTGACTGGTGGTAACTGGAAGTGACTGGAAGTGATTGGAAGTTACTGGAAGTGACTGGAAGTGATTGAAAGTTACTGGAAGTGACTCGAAGTGATTGGAAGTGACTGAAAGTGACTGGAGGTGACTGGAGGTGATTGGAGATGATTGGAGGTGATTGGAGGTGTGACTGGAGAAGCTGCAACATGAGTAAAGTAGACGTCGGTAACGCCACGTTAAGTAGGCAACCTATAATACAACAGGCAGAGGTTGGCAGTTGACTAGAGTTGACTGGAGTTGACAGGGTGACTGGAGGTGATTGGAGATGACTGGATGTAACTGGAGGTGACTGAAGGTGACTGGAGGTGATTGGAGATGACTGGAGGTGTGACTGGAGGTGATTGGAGCTGACTGGAGGTGATTGTAAAGATTGGAGAGACTGTAGACAGACTGGAAAAGACTGAGAAGATTGTAGTTGATTGTGAATGATTATAATTTGATTATTTTGGCAAGTGTACGAAGACTGGACCAAGTTAGGTACCCCTCGGCTGCTCCCCACACAGGTAGCCAGCAGCCGAATGGTTAGGGTAGCGGCTTGCGAACCTGAACGTTGGCAGTTCGATCCCAACCAAGGGCAGTACCGAATGGACAATGTCTTCACCTGGGTATAGCCCTCTAACCCCACAGCTGTTAAGTCGCTCGCTATGTGTCATTTTTAGCCCGCCCATCTGATTTGAAAAAGCTATCCAGCGGGCTTATGCAAACGACCTTGTGTCTGTCTGTGTGTCTGTCTGTTCCACTGGAAGGAGATGTGCTAGAGACGTGAAATTTTCAGGGTATCTTCAGGTTCGCTCCTAGAGAACGAAACGCCTACGGCAAATCCTGGCAACCACCCCTAAGAGTGTGAATAGGCGTATCCTAGGTTCAAATATTCGCCCAAAAAGTTATTTTTTAATGTTCTTTTAAGGAGTAACTCGTCATAAAAGAGCTCTCAGGACGAAAATTTCGTCCGTTGGGCTCTATTTCTAACCGTGTAGGCGCTGGAGGGTCCTTTTTGACGAAAATAAGCTAAAAATTGCTCTAGTGAACAAAAAGTTGTAGAAAAAGGCCTAAAAACCGCAAAATAGGAAAGAACGTCCCCCCCCCCCCCAAAAAAAAAAAACGTTTTATAAGCAGAAGGGTGGGTTGTAGTCGCGGTGCTTCACCGTTACATCCCTTTCTCGTGTCTACCGGGCAAATTTTAAGGCAGACGACGCGGGCCGAAGGCCCGCTACATCATTTGATTATGTTCTTCAGGAAACCGTGTCACAGAAGTGGTCGGGCCGCAGGCCCGACAGTCCGTATGGCGGCAGGGCGGGCCTGCTTGTTTTACATTTTCAAAAGTATTATCATACCGGCTGACTGAAATTTCAGCCTAAGTGGTATGGTGAGGCACTACTGAAATTTCAGACCCGGGTGCAGACTGAATTTTTAGACTATGGGTCCGTACTGTTCTGTAAAAAAAAACTTCCGAGGTTTGCGCCGGCTAGGTTTATGGAGGTACGTAATCCTGTGTTCATCCTAAATTAAAGTGGTGGCCCCATCGGTAGCAGCGATCACTTTCATTACCTCAGGGACAACACAAAGGATCAGAAACATTTGCAATACAAACAAATTATTTGTATTACGAAGGGCCTAATTTGTATTACAAACGAGGCTTTTGGTACTGCGAACGGGTTCTGTTCACTATTAGAAAAAGTTCTGGGATTTCACGGAGGAACACCCGTGAAAAATATTGCCGAAGTCCGTTGGGATTTCCCAAAGGACTCCATTGATTTCACGTGTCGAGTTTCGCTTCAAAAAACACATGCGACTTTTAACTCTCTACCTTCAACGTCAGCTTTCTGGCATAAAATCTAAGAACGGAGTCCTCTGGGAATTTCTAGTAGTGGTTGAGGGTAAATCTTCGGGAAATCCCAGGACATTTTAAACAGTGTTCGTAATATGAAAGAAAATCGTTTGTCATCTGGCTGCTTTGTATCCCTTGTACCTTACAAACCCGCAATTCTTCGTGGGCGTGTCTGCGCGACTCTTTGAAGCGGTTTTTGACTCAATTCGCGTCTGTACCGAAATAGCGAGAACCCTCAAAGTTCGTTCTTTTTGCAATTAGTAGCCATAAAAAGGGACTCTCTAGAGGCATGTCTGTGGCACTTGTATGTTTTCCGAAGATGGCTTCACTATCTGAAAAGATATAAGTGGCACTGGCACAGGCATGCCTCTGAAAAGTCCTCTTCCAAAACGATTAACTGGAAAAGGAACGAGCCCCGAGCATCATCGCGTTTACGGCAAGGACGTGAAAAAAGTTCAAAAACCACTTCAAAAAGGTGGGTCAACACGCCCTCGTAATACGAACACTGCTGTTTGTAAGAAACTAAGAGTGAACACACATAATTTTACACAGACGGAAAAAAAAAAAAAAAAAAAAGGGGGGCATAAATCGGCGTCCACACGCAAGTGCTCAACACTTAATATTATAATGATTTTAATGCTTAAGTATTCAACAGTAAATTTGAACACTTCAAACTGTCTTAAGGTTCATGGCCAATCCCGGCGTTGAACTTTACTATTTAGCGTGCAACTCAGTGTTGAGCTCTTACATGTGCATTGTGCATGCACAATGTTTGCGATAATAATGCAGACTGTACACTTTTCCAGTGTACAGCGAGGTGCACAGATAGTTTTGCATGAAATTGTGCATGATCTTATGTCTGTTTAAAATGTGTTTGCGCACAACAAAATGCTGCACTGTGAAAAATAGTACGAAGGTTTACAGGAACATTTTCCCTGACAGCAGTTGACAAGTTGTAAAATTACAAATGGTAATCGCAAAAATACAAGCAGTACGTATCGACTTAAAATACATTGGCGAGTAAAAAGTGTACTCGCGTCTGCAATTTAAATGTCCAAATTATCTATGAGGCAAGAAGAAAACACCGGACACCGACGCTACTAATTACCTGAGTACTCAGGCCCATCGAGTCCGTGCTCTTGTACATCAGCCGCAGTGTGCGAAGCGCGGTGCAGCCGGCCGCGACAGCTTTCACCAGCCCACGGTGGTCCTGGTAGTCCATGTGAAGGGTCAACGTGTCCAGTTGAGCAGCTACCGGCGAGGAAGCGAACACCTTCTTCACATCTGAATGGTTGTTGTATCCGAAGTCGTAGATGCACAGCTTCCGAAGAGCAGGAAGGTCATTGAGCAGCGACACCTGAAGCAGCAGAAATAATCCAAACATGATTTCTGTAATTTCTACATTCTAGCTAGACGGGGCTATTTCCAGGCGTGACGTACGGACGTACGCAAAAATAGAGCGTGTTTCAATTCAAGCAAATGGTGCATTTGTACCTTAAACATTCAACATGTCATACTACTGAATTTAATAAGAAAAATATGTGAAGTGTGTACTTGTTTGTACTGTCCAGGTATCCGTCTTATCATGACACGAACGAATGCTAGTTACCTAACGTCACAAAACATATGTCAAATGTCACCAATGGGTGGGAGAAATTCCACCAATGGGTGGGTGAAATTCTCTACCCATGAGTGGTGCTATTTTGTTCTCGTGGGTATGGATATAGCTTTTACCCACCCACGAGGATAAAGTGATATTGCATACCCAGGGGGTAAAAATATTCCCGAAGGGGTACCAAGTAGTGTATGTGGATAAAAACGTTAACAATTCTTGTTAACCATAAACGGACCCTTAGTTAAGAAATTTTTCTATTTTATAGTTTCGAGCAATATTTTTTGAATACAGAAGTTTGCGCCGCGTCATAGCGCCCTCTCACTTGTACAATCTGCTTTTGGACGCCATGTAGGCATTTCATGCCTGCTCGCTGCATTGTTCTTGTTCTTGATGTGTCTTTTTGCGTGATATTTTTTTGAATTAGCATATTAATCATTACTTTTATAATTGAACACAATTTTTGGCATGA